AATTTTTCCAATTTTTTTCCTTATTTAACATCGTTGCTTATCTACTTTTTTTCAAGAAGAGTCTTGATTTGCTCAAAACTTTTTCCTTTATATCATCCCTTTTTCTTCACGTATCTTCTACAACTAAAAGAAAGAACCCATTTTTTGGAAAATTGGTTCTTGAAAGGATAAAGATTGAATCTTTTTTGTGTTTTATGAAATGGGTGTTCAGTGTCAAGAAAATATTTTGGTTACTGGAGGAGCTGGTTTCATTGGAACACACACTGTGGTGCAGTTACTGAATGAAGGGTTCAAAGTTACCATCATTGATAACTTTCATAATTCTGTGGAAGAAGCTGTTGATAGAGTCAGAGAATTAGTTGGTCCTCAACTTTCACAGAATCTTGAATTCCATTTGGTATGATTTATTTTTTTCAATCTTTGATTTTGATCAAAGTCAACAAACTCCCTTTTTCTAAAACCACAAAATGGGGGCAAAAATGGAAGGAAATGTGAAAAAATGAGCTTGATATGTTCAATTTTAGCTCAATTTACATTTTGTAGTCATTGAATGTTTAAGGCTCCATCATTAGCTTTTTGTGTGTGTGTGTGTGTGTGTGTTTTTCATTGCTGCCCTGTATCATGTTGTTATCATTTTCTTAAAAAAGTAATCTTTATTTTATTTTATTTTATAGGAATCTTGATAGCTCTGTGATTGTACAACTAGGTCTTTTTAATCCTAATTTTGGTTTGTGCAATAAATGTTGATAAATTCACAATACTAGAATTGTGTTTTTTCACCTTATTTGGGATTTTACCTTTGTTGCTTCTTGGTGGCAGGGTGATATTAGAAACAAAGATGACTTGGAGAAGCTATTTTCTAAGAAAGAGTAATTTTCTTGTTTTCAAATTATCTCCAGCTGTTATTATTTCCTTTGAATGCATTTCTATGGTGTGTCTTGATATTCATTGTTTTGTAATATATATTGAAAAAGGTTTGCTGCTGTGGTCCATTTTGCTGGACTTAAGGCTGTTGGAGAGAGTGTTGTTCAGCCCTTTCTTTACTTTGAGAACAATCTGATTGGATCAATAACTTTGTATTCAGTCATGGCCAAGTATAATTGTAAGAAGGTACGTCTTTCGATATAATTTTGGTTTCATATAGTGAAATATGCTATGCATTCAAGGCAAGTTGGAATCTGTTATGTTGATGATTGTTGCTACCCTGTACTTATAGTTTTGGTAGAGTTTGAAGGAAAACAGTAAATATGAGCTTCTTTCAAGAACTCATTTAGCCTCAAGAACATGGGGCGTAGCTAGGGGGCGAAAGGGGGTTCAATTGCTTAGGATGTGGCATATTTGGAATTCGTAGGAGGGTATTGAGTCGGTTCGTCAGGTTGATAACTTTTTAATGTGAATGTGAAATTGCAGTTGGTTTTTTCATCATCTGCGACAGTTTATGGTCAGCCTGAAAAGGTTCCCTGTGTGGAGGATTTTGAATTGAAGGCTATGAATCCTTATGGTCGAACAAAGGTTTGTATTGTTAATAATTGTATCTTAATTTTGTAGTGATTAAAGATTGATCATTTGATACTATCTCATTCTGTAAAGTATGTAACTAAACCTGTGTTTCATTCTATTTAATTAGCTATTTCTTGAAGATATTGCTCGGGATATCCAGAAGGCAGATCAAGAATGGAATATCATACTGTTGAGGTATTTCAACCCAGTAGGAGCTCATGAAAGTGGCAAACTCGGGGAAGATCCAAAGGGCATTCCCAACAATCTTATGCCTTACATTCAGCAAGTAGCTGTTGGTAGATTGCCAGAGTTGAATGTATATGGCAACGACTACCCTACACCTGATGGTACCGCGGTAGGTTATGTTTGGCTAATTCTTTGTGACTGTAGCTTCTTTATATGAGGGAAAAAAAGAAATTGAACGACTCAAATAACCATCTGACTAGAGTTCATACGAAAGAAACAGAAAATGAAGAGTGAGCAAAACTTACCAACTGGAACAACTTATTGAACTACTTATAATGAAGAGAAAAGACAGAAATATAGTAGAATATCCAAATATATTCATGGCATGAATCACCTTTAACATATTTTGTTTCTGTACTTGACTGATAAATGATTTTTAATCTATTTCTCACTAGATACGAGATTATATCCATGTTATGGATTTAGCGGACGGTCATGTTGTTGCACTTCAGAGACTTCTAAGGCAGAATCATTTAGGTAAGTAATCCTTTTCAAAGCAAAGTTTAGATCTGAATTCTTTTGATATTTGTTCGAGCTAATGATACATACCCTTTCGAATGATTTTGACATTTCATATTTTGCTGTTGAAGGTAACATCTCGTGACATTTGTTCTTCTCTTTAATGGTTTGCATTAGGTTGTGTTGCCTACAATTTGGGTACTGGAAAAGGCAAATCTGTCCTAGAGATGGTTGCTGCTTTTGAAAGAGCGTCTGGAAAGGTCTCTTAACGAAACACGCTAACATGCTAAACCATACCTTGGAGAATTTGAATTATTTGAACAAAGCAACAAGCTCATCATATGTTGTACTAATATTTATTATTTTGGTTCCAGAAAATCCCGCTTAAAATGTGTCCAAGAAGACCAGGAGATGCCACTGCTGTTTATGCATCTACTGAAAAAGCTGAGAAGGAGCTCGGTTGGAAGTAAGTATTAAATGGTTATTTTTCTATCCTTGGATCAACTGATGCTTGCGCCGAGCAGCCTCACCAACCCCCTCCCCCTGTTAAGGCTAATCTTCTTGCATAACTCTTTCATTTCACCAGTTGAAAGAGAAACTGATGGTGGGATCAAATCTTTTTTACTTTTTTTCAGGGCAAAATATGGTATAAATGAGATGTGCAGGGACCAGTGGAAATGGGCAAGCCAAAATCCTTGGGGTTACCAATCAAAGCCTTGAAATGTTAATTAAATAATACAAGTAGCACTTGGAGGACAAAACTGTAGTCAACATCCTAGTACTTTACATTTTATGCAAACATAGATGTATCCAAGGACAAAAGTGTTCATCAATAATAGTTGTTGATGGTTATGTACTACTAAATCCTGTTGTTGTTTTCCTTTAATGGTTTTATGGGAACTTGAATGTTCCTCCTATTATGATCCCTTCAACCAAATTTCTTTACTGATTGTAATTCATCCAAAAAGAGTAAATGATATAAGTCTATTATGCTATTGAAGGTGTGCAATTCTATACTTCATTGTTGATGAAGTTATGGTTTATAATTGACTCAAACATATCTTTTGGCTCATAATAGTTGACTTTTTTCACCTACTTACATTTTAATTTAGTAGTGGTTAACCAACTATTCTGTCCTTTGGACAAGACTTAATACCAGCTAGTTAGTTATCTCTGTGTAAAATATGCAAATTTGCTGCAAAAGAATCCCAGACTTGGTTCTTTCCTGCTATTGGTCAAATTGTTCTTTTGAGTATAATCATTTGCTAACAGTTGGAAAAAGGATAAAACTATGAAAGAAGAAGGTAATGTGATGGTGATTGCTCAGAGAATGATATCTGGTGCTTCTCCTTCTCCTTCATTAACTCCACACTCACCAGCTACACAACCACCTTTGCCAACACCATCACCATATTCGTTCTCAGTGGCATCGACAAGGTTGAGATCAAGGCCTTCTATATATGCATATGATCTTGCCTTAAGATCACTGGCACTCTTGTTCTCCTTCATCTCTGCTCTTTCACTAGTTGTACCATCACCAACAAGGGCAAAACAAGGAACGATTTCCAAATTCTGTGATAACTCACAATTAACGTAAGAATCAACACCTAGCTAATTTTTTTTGTTTTTTTCTCCAAGAAACCTTGCAAGGACTTCTGATAGTATAGGATTTCAGGATTTAAACTAAGACAACATTCAGTCCTATGGTTTTGAGAGCTGTTTTTACACTACTGCAGGTACTGCTTCACAGTAAGTATATTAGCTTTTATCTACTCAGCCTTTCAACTCTTCAAGAGAGTTTGTGACATCGCTTATAGAGGTGTCTTGATCTCCGATATGACCTCTGACTATCTCAGTTTCATACTCGATCAGGTATTTACTCACTTCAATTAGCTAGAGATTACTTCCGAGTCCAAAACCTTAAGGAAGCTGGCTCACTGTCTCACATGTAACTACGACCATAAAATGATAAAATGGTTGCATCCCTACCTTTAGTTAAAACTAGTAGCAAGATAAATCTTTCAAAACAACGAATTCTCATAAGCAGAATGTTTTACAGTTGACAGGTTACCTTCTCGTGTCCTCTTCTTCAGTAACTATACCAGTCATTCAACAGATGGATAGCCAAACCCCTCTCTGGAAGGCAGCTATTCTTGCTGTTTGCATGTCATTTACTGCTTTCATGGTCCTTGCGGTGTCTGCACTCTTATCAGGCTACAAGCTGTGCAAAAGGATCATATGGTGATGAACTGGGAATTGAACGTGCAGCCTTCAACTCCAGGATTGACAAAGCAACCGTAGTGTAAAATGGGACATGATTTCTTCTCTCCTTTTTGTTTCCGGTCAAGAAGTTTTGATCTGCTTGAAGCATCACAAGTAGCAATTGGGTGGCATATACCAAATATCCTCTACTACACTAATGGTCTGGTAGAAGTTGATAACAACAAGAAGAGGGTTTCAGAAGTTTATAGCAAATAAGAGAAAAAAAATTGGTAGAAAATATGCATATGCACTATTAATTGTAGTGCCACCGTCATGGTGAATGAACAGTATAAGTAGTATCAAACTAGTTTGTACTTCCTTGCTTCAAAGTAACAAAAACTTACAATTCTCTTTCTACAGAAAATGTTATACTGCTTCCACTTATGCCATGAAGATAATAATTGAACAGGAGTATTCCCTTCTCTGCGTTGTGAATAAAATTATAAATACTATAAAACACTAGCGATTCCATATAACCAAAATACTCAACCTTCCTTGATGAACAAAGAAGTAGGTTCAGTTAAAAACCTACAGTTGTCTCCAATTCAACATTAGAACATCAATTCACATAGTACTTTACAACTAAAGACAAATCTTGAATAACATTTGTCTCAGATGGCTTACATATATGATTCCAAATAAGTAGAAGCTGAAGCAACTTGTTCACCATACCATCAGATATTCAGATCCAATGTAGACTGCTCGGCACATTCTTTAGAAGGCAAAATCTCATCTGAATTCGCATGTTAATGGTTAGCAACAACATTTCAGCTCTCACCATTAGTAAACAAATTTCAGTTGTCTTTAGTGATTTGTCTTGTAAAAATTTGACAGAAGCAAGTACTATGCAGTTTAATCTTCTATAATGACAAGATTTCCCTCAGAAAATTCACAAGCCTGGATGGAGAGGGAAAGCTGCTTCTGTAGCTTTTTTACCACAAAGACTTCTGACTCTTCACATATGGTTACTACCGTGCCCTTGCGGCCAAGCCTGCCCGTACGACCAGCTCGATGAGCATAATGAACTGAGTCCGTAGGTAACCCCAGATTAACTACAAGATCACATTCAGGTAAATCCAAGCCTCTAGCTGAAAGCTCATTCGTTAGCAGCACCCTGATCTCCCCATTTCTGAACTTCTTTAAAATTGTTGATCTTACAAGTTTGCTGAGATCACCATGTAATTCTGCAGCATTCATACCACGAGCTTCTAGTTTAAAGACGGCATCTTTCAGTTGTTTTGTGTGGTTCATAAAAGCTATTACACATTTGGCATCCAGAGCATGCACACACCTTCTTAACATATCAACTTTGTGCTGTATCCTAGTAATAGTGTAATAATGCTGCAAGTTAGGGGGTAAGCTCTGAACGTCAGGCATAGGTTGTACATTTGAGCTTGAATCAGTAGTAGAAGGTGTTCCCGGTATATTAACAGATCCAGCAGGAGTGACAGACTCGATTGGAACAACTTTATTGGCTTGGATGAGAAGTGGATCACAACCCCAACTTCTTGCTGCTCTTATAACTGAAAAAGGCACTGTTGCAGACACCATGATAGTCTGACGTGCAGCTCGCTTGACAAGTGGACTGTTTGACTCTCCTCCGCGTGCACCAGGTCTTCTCCCCACATGGTCTAATATACGCTTCATGTCCTCCCGGAAAGTGAATGCAAGGAGTTGATCAATTTCATCCAATACCAAGAAACGACAACCATGGGTAGGAAGCTTTCCAGCTGCACTAATCTCTGCTATCCGCCCAGGTGTCCCCACTACAATGGCAGGCTTGTTCTTCCTCAGAGCATCCTCCTGTCTAGATCGGTTTGCACCCCCTACAAGCTGCTGGACTAGTTTCTTATTCGCTGGTCCTAATAGCTTTTCAACTTCCCTGACAATCTGCATGCCAAGTTCCCTCGAAGGAGCTACTATAACTGCTTCGATGTCTATTTTCTTCCCAGTTTCATAGCCATCTGAAAGTTCTTCCTTCAACGGACCGACTCGAGACAGTATGGGTAGGAGATAAGCTAATGTTTTTCCTGAACCTGTGTAGGACTGGATCACAACATCATGATTTTTAAGAACAGTTGGAACTGCAGCAGCTTGAACATCAGTCGGAATCGTAAAGCCTTCCTTCTCTAGTCTTTCGACCAACAAAGGTGGAATGCCAAGTTCTGAAAATGACTTCGCAGCAAATGGTGCGGTCATTATATCTACTGGATTTTTCTCCTTAACCAATCCTTGTTTATTGCCACTAACTCTTTTCTTCTCTCTACTCTTGGGGACCTCAATTGTTGAAATTCCCTGCTGGAGCTTATTTTTCTCATTTGCACTTACTGTCTTAACTTCACTCTTCAATCCAAGGCTAGCTAGAGTGAGGGATCCACTGCTACTTAAAAATCGAACATTGCCTTGAGATGGAGCTATCCGTGTAAACTGTGTAACTTTTCTGAAAGCTAAAGAATCCCCAATTAACAAGAGGGCCCTTGTTAGCACTAAAGCAGGCATGGTTTTTCTAGTACTTGTTTTCCCAGTGGCTATCTCATTTAACAACTCAAACTTGATATGACTATTTATAATGCCAAAATCCTCTTAAGCAATTTACTATCATCACCAATCAGACTGCAACAAAAATGTTAAAATATCAAATATACATAACAATATAGGACCTATGATAAGTAAAATTAAGATTTAGCATATCAGCATTCTTTTTACTAAAAATTGAGAATGTAGTGACATAAGTATGCCTCTTTTGCTGTAATATCCCTCTTCAAGAAAAGGAAAATAATCAGCAAAGAGCATTAGTGCAAAAGGCATGTCAAACAACTCAATCAATCAATCGATCAATCAAAACTAGTTAGTGTCTGTACTCTGTTACATGAATTCTCTATATCCATCCCGTTCCCTTCAGCCATAAACCCTATTTTCCTTTTGTCCACTAAACTTGAACCTCACCTTAGGTGCCAAGTGATATCCTCTACTCCCTAACTAAACACAATTCAACTGTCCAGCCCATATCATTCTAATACTAAATAACTGTGCAATCTTGAAATCACTAGCAGGGACGACTGAATGACGTTTACTACAGTAAATCATATCCCCCATAACCCGAAACTCTTATATTGACATTTTTTGAACACCCAGAAACTAGAAGACACTAAAAAAAACAGACATTTCGTCAAACACATGGTGACCACTAAACTCAACTCTCATTTCTACACACCTACGCATTTCCACTATCACCTTCAACGTACAATTTATAAAGTTTTCAGCTTTCAAGAGATTTCGAACTCGGCAATCAAAAAATCAAAATGGAAACAAACAAGAAGAAGTAAAATTTGAAGGAAAACTAAACAGATAAGAGAATATGAAACTAACAAAAACAAATAAACAGGAAAACTTAGCCTCCATTGAATTGGGGAAGAGAATAAAGAGGAAATTGAAGGTGTTTTTTACCTTCTTCTTCTTCTTCTTCTCACCTTAGCTGCCCTGCCTGTTACTCTGCTAATAGTGAAAGCTAACCATATCCTGATTCTTATCATTCTTGATGATAACCTCAAGGCCCAAT